AACCCCCCCCCTTTACCCAACTGCTCCCATTCTCCATTCTTCAGCCTTAACGATCCCTACTCCTATCATGGGGTAGAGTTCTACACACACCAAGCAAATGGTATCACCAGCACGAGAACACAACCAAAACTTTCTTCTTCTACTTCTTCTTTTATATCCTGTGACAATAATCATTTGTTACATTTGTATCTTTTATTAGCGACCAGTTGTTTCTTCTCCGTCACCTCTCTCTCTCTCTGTATCTATAAGGTGTTCTAAAGACTTATTATTCATTATCTGTCTATCTCTTTCTATATTGATGATCTATAGATTTATTATTCCTCACTTCTCTGTCTCTATATATCATTTATCGATTAATTATTCGCGATCTATCTATACAATGTAATCTATAGATTGATTATTAGTTCTCTCTCTGTATACAATGTGACCTATATACTAGTGATCTCTCTGTGTATATTATCTCCTGTATACCATGTGATCTATAGATCTTTCTGTGTCTGATGTGTATCAGGGAGTTTTGCAAGTTGACAAGAATAATATTGGGACTTCTTCAGTTTTGTTTTTTTCCACTGACCTTGAAGAAGTCGCTTTTATCAGCAACTGTAACTGCTTACAAGAAGTGCAAGGGGGGAAAAAGGAAGTGAAGTTTGTACTTTTCTGGGTGGATGTGTGAGTGCAAACACAACTCAGCAGAACAATCATAATAAATACTTTGCAATGAGACACCTTTTTGTATATAAACACATAATAATAATAATAATATATTTGTGTTTTAGACACATACATGATCCCATAGCTGTAGCTCCAGTGTAGCCCTGATAATGAAGAAGCCCAGGGCAGCTGCAAGTAATAATTCCATGCAGCAGGATTGCTCTAGAAGCCTAAATCCCTCTATTCTGGGCTGCAGCAGCCACTTGCTGACTAATGAATCCAGCTTGCAGAGTGCAGGCAGAGTTTTTGTTGTAGCCAAGGTAGGAGAAGCTCGGTGACCCCACCAGGGTTGTATGTATGTGCATGTGTGTGCTACTTACTTCCCTGCCATGCCTGTGTGTCACCCAGCCCCCCCTCCAAGGAAGCCCTCCTCCACCTCCATTCCGACTTCAGTCAGCTCCCCTGTTTAGCAGCTGAGTTGATGAGTAAATTGAATTGCAGCCATTGTCTGGCAGGAGTGGGGTTAAGCAGCTCGCCCACAGTTCTTTTCTCATAAGCCTGTGTGATAGGGAGGAGAGGGCTCAGCTTCACCGTTCTTCTGCAATATGTCTGCCAGTCTAGATAGTGAATCATCACACTCCCTCTGCCTGTCCAGGATCACACAATTCTTACTCCAGCATTCGCCTCTGTTGCCATGTGCAGTCAGACTTGTGGTAAAAAAATAAAATTGATTGAGTTATCCTTACAGGAATTAAAAGTTTGCTGCTTGGAGTCGAGACAAAAGGCTAGTTTGCTGCAACAGGCAGAGTTCATTGAGTAAGGAGCCATATTTATTCTGCTGCCAGCAGTTGTTTGTCACTTTGTGTGTGTGTGTGTGTGTGTGGTTACTGGGAGAGGGAGAATGCAATTCCAGGGATACTTTATGATACTGGCCAAAGTGAATCCACCAGTTTGGGTTATTGTAGTCAGGTTAATGGGTGTTTTTATTAATGGCACTGGGTGGTGATTAATAAATGGTCATAAATATGGCAATTGTAGGCAAAATGTATCAGGGCAGATCGTACGGGCTTTCAAGAAGCATACGACCATCGCAAGACAAGAGTCTTGAGATGGTCGTAAGGTGTATGGGCACCTTTAGTCTTCTTCTTCTTGATCTTGACGTTTGACGTTTGTTTATTCCAAGCTGTTACAGTTTATCAATTAATTTCTCTATTCTTCCTCTTCTATTCTATCAACCGTAGAACAGTTCACACCTAAAGTTTGCAGCAGAACTGAGCGCAGGCCCAGCCCGAGCTATTGTACAATACTGCACGGAGGGTGAGGAATCCTGTAAACATATGTAAATGTGGGTGGTGGGGAGCTTTAGTGAATTTTTTTGGGTGACTCTAAACATGACTTGAATCTCACAGAAAAAAAACTCCCTTCAATTCAGACAAAAGAACTTTGTCCATGGAATGTTTTTGAAAGATTCCAGTGCTCACTATCTCTACCTTGGCCAGTTGTAAACATTTTATGTAGATGTCGGGGTGATATCATGGCCAACTTATTTTTATAGTATGTATCTTAGCTTTTAGGAAGGCCCAAAACTTCTGAGTTTAGTTCTAGAACAATGCAATGATCTCTACCTCACACTGACTTCCTCTTCTCTCTTCTAGGTCTGTTATGGATTACATATGACTTTTTCTTCGCTTCAGGAGTCTGAAATGTTATTGATCAAAGTTTCTTCTGGTGGTCACCGGGTACAAAGTCGAGCCCTGAAGGCCTGCTTTTGTTGAGGCCTA